TCGATAAATTTGTATTCCATCAAATTTTGATTATCGTTTTTTCTATACGTGTATGATGATATAAATATCGAGAACTTTTTGGGTTATCAGTAAAACGTGACTTTTTGAAACATGAAGGAGTATATGCCCAATGATGTGTTTAAGTTAAAAGAATAAGTGCAACTTTGTTATGTTTAAGGTCGTTTTCATCATTACTTAGTAGTTGCAAACTATTTGGCATATTCAATAGTAATTGCTATTGTTCATGTTTAAAAATTGAATTATTTACAGGGTGGATATAATTTTTTTTTTGTGGATTTGTTTGTGATATATGGTAGGAGTTTTATGTTCATATATTTGGAGCAATGCATGCATGAATCCTGTTCTTCCTCTTCGTGCTCTTTTACTCTTTTGCCCCATCTACCGCCTCCCACCCCTCCACCCTCTTTCTCTCTCTACTTATGTTGTAGCCCCCTCCCCCTCCCCCCCTTCTCTCTATCTCTCTCTCACTCTCTGTCTCTCTTTCTCACTCATATAAAAAAATGAAAAAAAAAATTTCTCTCTCTCTCTCTCTCTCTCTCTCTCTCTCTCTCTCTCTCTCTCTCTCTCTCTCTCTCTCTCTCTCTCGTGCGTGCTCCTAGTCTCATTGCTTTGACTACCTTAGGGTTGTGTTCCCCGTGCCCACGTAGTAGACAATTTGCAAAAAGTGGACTACACCGTTTCGATTTCGGAATGTTAAAAACTCAAGGATCTGCCTCCCCGGCCTCCTACCGGGAGCTACTGGTTCTTCGCATGCCCCGCCCGTTGCTAAGCCTCGAAACCTCAAAATGCTCACCCTCCCGAATGACCACCGACATTGAAATTTCAATGATGTTGAAATTCTCAGCTCGTCAGGGTTGTGTTCCCCCCCCTGAGACATTTCAACGTCACTCAAATTTCAACCTTGGTGGTCGCCGGAGGGGTGGACATTTTGAGGTTTGGGGGCCTTGCAAGGGTCAGAACCGTGTAGGACCGACAACTGCCCGTAGGTGGCCGTGGAGGCCATGGTCCTTTTTTCGAAATTGAAACGACGCGGGTTCACTTTTATCCAATGACAATGCATCTCGAATAGAACATATACACATTATATTCAAATACAATATGTGTCCCTCGCATTTAGCGCAGCCTGTTCGCAGCCCGTGAGGGTTGCGTTTTCCCCCCCTGAGACTTTCAACGTCATTGAAATTTCAATGTCAGTGGTCGTTGGGAAGGGTGGGCATTTTGAAGTTTTGGGGTCTTGCAAGGGGTGGGACCGCATAGGACCGGTAGCTGGCCATAGGAGATCGAGGACGCTGTGGTCCTTGTGTTTTGAACATTCCGAAATTGGAACGACGCAGGTCTACTTTTATCAAAGGACAGAGCACTTCAAATAGAACACATACAAATTGTATTTGAATACAACATGTACATTTTCTATTTGAATTTTGAATAAAAATTCTTGTATTTCAATAACATTACTTTTTTTTTTTTTTTTTTGAGGTCAGCGTCTGCCCTTGTGCTCCCGCCACTGATATGCTGCATACTGCAGGACTCTCTCTTTCTCTCTCTCTCTCTCTCTCTCTCACACACACACACATACACACACAAAAAAAAAAACAAAAAAAAACAAACACATTCTCTTGTCTATTGTTGGGAGCGCCACCTGCTGGAAACTGGGTCGATCGTCCCATGAACATCATGAATATAGCACCAACCGGGACCTCACACACACGTGAATAAAGCACCAACCAGGAACCCCCCCCCCCCCCCCCCCCCCCCCCCCACACTCTTCGAGTTGTGTATAGCGAACATGACAAAACATACACACAACATAACGGGTAGCAGAGGTTGACTGCAGAGGGTGACCGAAGGTTGCTCCGACATCAAGCGGACACACAACCCTCCCTGCTACCCCCCTTTCTTCCTCTTGAGACTCATGTATTTCGGTTGTGTATAACGAACATGACAAAACGTACACGCATAATCACTACCTTACCCTTCCCCAACCACATCAATAAACAGACTATGGGCTGCTCCTGGCTCAGTTGGTGCACACCCATGAACTGTTGGAATGGAATACAGACTCAGGGCCTCGCCACAGCACTCTTGAAACGGGGAAATTTTTCAAGAGCTGTCAGACGTTCTCAAGAGTTGGGTTTTCAAGAGTTTTCGGTCCCTCGCCACACAACACTCTCGAAACGCCAATGGTGTTAGATAGAGGATGAAAAACGACACTCATACAACTTTGTTTTTTCGAAAGGAGTTAGGATAACGGCCTGACAACTCTTGAAAATCGAAAGTCCCTCAAGGGTTCGGGCAAGGACGCTCAAGGACGCACGAGTTGCAGGTTGGGGTTTCCCACTCTTTCAAGAGCTGCTCTTGAAACGGTTTCAAGAGCCTCTCTGACAGCTCTTGACTGCCCCAAGTGTCAAGAGGCTGTGTTCGCAGCCCGTCAGGGGTGCGTTTTATGCCCTGGGAACATTGCGTTTTTTATGCCCTGGGAACATTTTGCGTCGCCGTCACCAAACGGTGCGGTAGTTGGAAGCGTGGTGTATTTGTTGGGGTCCAATTCGTGGGAAATAGGCAGTTCAAGGAAGTGCAGGACCGGTAGCTGCCCGTGGTATAAGGGCCTTGAAATTTTGAACATGAAACGACGTGGATGGACGCAGACCCTGTGGTGAGTTCGCAACCCGTCAGGGTTGCATTTTTCCCCCTTGAGACATTTCAACGTTCAACGTCATTTCAACGTTGTGGTCGTCGGGACGGTGGGCATTTTGAGGTTTTGGGGCCTTGCAAGGGCCAGGACCGCGTAGGACCGGTAGCTGCGCGTGGAGGCTGAGGAGGCCGCGGTCTTGAAACCTGTTTCGAAATTGAAATGGTGCGGGTGCACTTTTATAGAATACCACAGTTTCCTCGAATAGAAAATGTACAGGTTGTATTCGAATACAACCTGTACCCTTTCTATTCTATTCGGATTTCGAAAAGAAAAACTCTTGTATTCCGATAAAATTACTTCTTCTTTTTGTTGGAGGTCAGCGCCTGCC